CTGTGTTGTTGTTAAGGTATTTTTGAGTAGTGTGTTTCTAGGGTGCTAGTTAGAGGACTGCTAATAAATAACGTGCTGTGTTTGCTACACTGTAAAAAAAATTCCGTAAAAAAACGGCAGCTGTGGTTGCCGGAATTTTACCGTAAAAAATACAGTAGCAGCGTTTTAGGTTTTAAATTTACAGTTAAATACCGTAATTTCATTACCTGATATAATGTTAATATACCAACCTATTGAAGTACTGAAATCTGTTTTGTACCTAAAACAAAGAAGAAAAAACTAAGAAGAAACATAGTTATTTCAACAAAAAAACATCAAATTTGAAATGTAGCGCAGGGAATTCTGGGAATGTCAATTTACGGTTATTCACTGTAAATTATACGGTCTTTTTCACTTCCAAAAACGGTATACTACCGTAAAATTCATGTCCAATACATGTAATGTCCAATACAGTTTTTCACCGTACATAGTAGGGGAATTTACCGTTAACCATTTAACAGGTTTTTACCGTAGCATTTTTACAGTTTAAATTCACAGTCATTTTTTACAGTGTTGGGTGTTCTAGATGGTTGCCAGGGTGTTGCTATTGTGATTGCTATGGTGTTTTGGGTGGTAGCCTGTGTATTGCAGTATATAGGGTGTTTTGAGTGGTTGCTAGGTTAAAAAAAACGATAGTTTGATTGCATAGAAGAGCAATAGTCCACCTTTCCTGAATAAGTGATTAAATGTTTGATTTTCATACTTTTTTTCATACTGATTTTTGTAGTGTGCAGAAGCTTAATACTTTTGTTAAAATCACTAACACTGTTGAAATGTGTAAAAAGTATAGTAATAGTGATGATTGACTTAGTAAACACAACCTCCTAACTCCTAACTACTTGATTCGCTGGAAGAGAATGTTGTTGTGCTTGAAGTGTTTGTGTTTTTATACTAGAGTGTGTTTGATGTCTGAGGTGACTTGCCTGTTGCCGGGTAACCTCCAGTGCCCTTCTCTGATTGGCTGGGGGAGATAGGTGTTGACTGGTAGACGGGTTTGAGGGCTGATAAAAGAGTGCAGACATGCGTGAAATCCGATTGGGCGATAACTGCCGCTGACCTGGGGGAAGTGGCCTATCAGATTTCTTCATCTCAATCATGGCGACGATAAAGCTGTCAAATCAGCTTTGACTTGACTTATCGACATGCCTTATCACCCAGCATATAACAAGAGACACGGCTGATAAAAAAAATAATAATATTTTTCCTGTCACTGCGGGAACTTGTTACAGGGTAGATTTTAAAGGCCCGGTGATTTATGACCTGGTCAGCTCATGCAGAGTGCTGCTGGGAAAAGTGCGAGACGAGAAAAGGGGAGGCCCCAAATATGAGCGAGAGAGGTGTAGTTTTCCGATCTCAAGCTTCAGAAAAAGAGTTATTTAGAGGAATATGTGGATAGAAATGGTAGCTGTGCATTACATAGTTTTGGTGGGCAACCACCAGAAATGATCACCATAGTTGTGTGTAGACTACTTTTTTAGACTAGTTGTGTGTAAACTTTACTTTTCTGAAACTTTATTCAGTTTCACAAGGGTTTGTTAAAAGTAGATAACTTTTGTATGATCTTTGCTTGTTGTGTCAGGTCAGCTTTACTTCTGATGTAGATGTAGAGCATTTTAGCGTGGTTGAAGGTCTAGTTTTGGACCCGTGTGGTCACAGGAGGGCTGAAACGTAACCCAGATTAATTGCTCAGGGAGTATTAGTCTGCATTGTTTCACTGTGCTGATATTGGCACTTAACCTTTGTCAACAAACTGTTTGAATTCTCTAAAGCTAGTCATAGGAGAATCTTGATCAGAAGCTGGCCAGCTCTCAGTTCTTTCTTGGACCTCTAATTGGATTGCTGCAATTCGATGATTGTTAACGAATGACATTTGAGATAATGAAGTCATCAGCCTAAGAGCTTTGGGAAGAAAGCAGCGGTAGAAAAAAGTAAAGCCATGTCACAAAGGACTCATAGCCCCCCCGCCCCGGACGGATTCGAACAGGCCCCACAGATGGGAAGATACATTGCAAGGTTTTTGTCAGCATGTGGAAGGAAATTCTCTCCCCGTTGCGCTCAATGTGGTGTTTGTAGTTTTCCCAGGATTTCTCAAAATGCCAAAATCTGTTAAAACCAAGGAGGTTCATACTTAAGAGAAAACAATGTCTAAACCCATTACTAGTGACTATCCTGAGCTGTGAAAGGCAAAATAAAAGTCAATTTCTCACTTTTGAAAACATCTGGTAAAACATCTACTCTAATGTATTTAAATGTTATATACACTACATCTCTTATGCTCTCCAAGGTTGCATTTATTTGATCAAAAATACAGTAAATACAGTAATATAGACCACATTTTAGACATTCTGTTTTCTATTTAGATTTTAAAATGTAATTTATTCATGTGATGGCTAAGCTGAATTTTTTAGCATCATTACTCCAGTCTTAAGTCTCACATGATTCTTCAGAAATCATTCCAATATGCTGATTTGTTGCTCAAGAAACATTCCTTCTTATTATCAATGCTGAAAATAGCTGTGTTGCTTAGATTTTTTGTGGAAACCATATTTTTTTCAGGATTCTTTGATGAGAAGAAAGTAAAAAAAAAAAAAAGACATTTGAAATTTCATTTTTTTAACAATGTAAAAGTCTTTGCTGTTACTGATTTAATGCGTCCCTGCTTAATAAAAGTAATAATTTCTGACCCCAAACTTTTGAATGGTAGTGTATATGTATAAATATATTTTTTTACAAAGCTAATTTTGAGTGACTGTCAATGGAAAAACCCAGATGGTGTAGTTTTGGCACATTCCAGCAAGGGCAAAACAGGCTAGCCTTGACTCCTTTGTTGAAACCTGCAATCATCTACATGAATGTACTTTAAAGGGGTCCTATTATGCTCTTTTACAAAGTCTTGATTATGTTTTGGGGGTGTACTAGAACATGCTCTCATGCTTGGTGGTTCGAAAAACGCATTATTTTTCACATAATTTACATTATTAAAATACCTCACAACAGCTGTAGCTTGTGTCTAGTTTGTTTTTAACCCCAGCCATGTGCACTTATGATTCTCCTTGAGGGACTCCAGTGCGAATGTGCTAATCCTACTGTTCAAAAACAAAGAGAAAGAACCATTAATGGAGGTTGAGCGAGTGAGGAGAGTGTGAAACAAAGTAAATTGTACACCATCGCTGAAAGGTTGTGTGGTCAGTCTCCCAGCCACCGTTCATGAAAATCTCTTGAGTGGGAATACGCTAGCAAGAACAGCAAATGGCAGCTTGATCTCCAAATATAGATATTACAACCATTTGTTCAGCCAATCAGAGAACAAGAGTTATGTTAATGTTAAAGCAGTGTACAAAATGAATGAAAGAAGTTTAGGCTTTTATGTATGTGCATTTTACTGTGCAATGATCATATGTCTATGGATTCTTTTAGTTTCAAACAGGCCTGGAGATTTTTTTTCTTTCATTCTCTTTCCCATGAGGCTTAGTGGTGCTGAAAGCTCATATGAGCGCAATCAAGCCCTGATTGATAGCTCCTGTAGTTCACAGATTGTTGTCTTATGCTGCTGTTATTTTTCTGAGAAAACCAGAATGTGCAAACAAGCTTAAAAAAACATTCTTCTTTACAGTAACACAGTTGTTCATGGACGTATGTAGTGTGGCATTTTGTGCCCCTAGTGTCACAAAAATGGAATTGCATTCTGTTTGGTGACTTATTTTCGAACAGGTTTCCAAAACATGTCTACTGTCTGCAATTGGTTGGACAAACAGATAAACTAAATGTATATGTCTTTATTTCTGGGACTGTATTAAAATCCATTGAAGCACTAATTCCTAAATTTGCTTTGACAGAATATTTATACCCTCTTGTCTTGGAATGGCCTTCAGGTGAATCAAAAAATTTCACCATACCACTGTGATTAAACAATGGGTATTGAAACCATTTGGTGTGGTTGTAAAACCAGATGAGTTAGAAAATGAGGCACCAAATGAGAACCATGGTGCAAACAAAAACAGGCACAATGAGGCGGCCCATCTGCGGTGTTATTAATCTCTTAACAATCCTGTTATTTATAAAAGTTTATCTTAACAAGCCCATTGCCTTTGGGGAAATAAACAAACAATACAAAAACAACGCCTGACCTTCCTTTGGTCCAGCGGTCCTGTCATGAGGTTTCAGTTTATGTGTTCTCTAATTATTGCAAATATAAATCTGAAATCGGTCACCATGTGAGATCATCTCCCCTTCATATGCGGCAATTCTGTTTCCATTACATCTGAGTGTGGTTTACATAAGTCCGCTGTTGTCCTTCATTTGATTGACCTAATTCCATTTATTTGAGTCAAGATCCAATCACTGATTGTGTTTTACAAATGCTCAAAACTTTTCAAATTCAAAGAAATAATTCCCCCAGAAATGAAAATGTTGTCATCATTTACTCACTATTTTGTATCATGTTCTAAATGATTTTTTTGAAGAACAATAATGCTTCTCATACAATCAAAGTATCTTAATGTGTGTATATATACATATTATATATACACACACACACACAAACACAGAATCATTCTCATATAAATATATAAAATTATAAATAATAGAAGCTACACATTGTCACATTAACAACTAGACTAAATGTTTTAGACTAAAATCAGTGTCATTTCCGATTAGTTAGTCTTTTTTCACTGCTTCATCAAAAAGAATCATAAGAGTCGCTTGTTTGTACTTTGAACTATACAGGTCACATTATATGCTGCTTGTTGAGAGCAACAATGAGAAGAACACGATAAAAGATTCAGTCTGCCTTTTTTGTCTTTGTAGTAGGCTCACAGCTCTAATAAAACATCATCTTTTTTTCCGTGGTGGAGGAGACTGCATTCATGTCATGAAATCATTCAGTTCCAGTACTTGGAACCATTTCTTCCTCAGATTCTCAACCCTAACAGTGATGCATGCTGTGTGTGTTTCCTCCACAGACTGCACACGGCCCAGAGAGCCATTAAGCAGACTCAGGTGACTGTTCAGAAGATCGGGAAGGAAATTGAAGAGAAACTGAGGACAACAGCGTCCTGCACAGAAAAGGTGAGACCCAACAAATCAAACTAGTGGGGTTTCTTGGGTTGTCTAGGTCTGCTTGCGTGCTCTTATTCATTCAGGATTATTTTTATATTCTGTATGCTTTCAATGTTCTCTAACTTCATAAATCCTATCTGGCCTGTTGGGTTTTCTTTTCCTTTGTACCTGTACAAAGCACTGATGGTAAGACTCTGTAAAGCACCTCTGCAAGTATAAAAGGCTAAATTTACAGTTGCTGTATGCTTGACAGAATTTTATAGCAGATTGCCAAACTCAATTTAAAATTCAATACTTCACTCTGTAGTGGGGATATTGTCTTTCCAGGCTCACAGAATTACTCTTTCGTGAGGGATGGCAGTATAAACCCGCTATCTAGCAGTGTAACAGACAAGCATTTCACTTTAGTCAATGTCCAATTGGAAAACATTACAAAATAAAAGTACATACTATTAGTACTGGCGCTTGTATTATTAAAAAAAAAATCATTATATAGATTCTCTTTGCAAAGAAATTTGAATTGGTAAAAAACATTCCCAGTACAGGGAATGTTTTTACAGATTCAAAGCTTGCAACCAATATTTCAAGCTGTTGCAGTGTTGTTTTTGCAAGTGAGAATGAGAGTTTAGTATGCTGGTGCTAGTACCATCAGTTTGAGACAGGAAGTCAGGGTACCCAGTCACTCAACACAAACAGCAGCAGTATGGTAAATGGCCTTAGCGTTGTGTATCTTGTGTTACACAGATCCTCATAAATACGTCATTAGGTCCTCAGGTGGTTCTTGTATCCCGTGTTTTGATGGATTTAGAGATCCTGAATCCCACAGCTTTATGCCTCCTCTACATATCACCGTGCCCTTGTCACCAAAAAATCCTATGTTTGTGTTTCCACACTCACTGTATTCTGCAGAACCATGAAAAGTAAAAGGAAAACATATTTTGGATTTTTCAAGGCAGTTAGCAGCTGCAAAAACGCAGTCGTTTGGGGAGGTTTTCAAGTCGTGTTTGTAGTTCATGAACATTTAAAAAGTCCGTCATCTTCCAGTAGGCTGCAAATGGCCAGACATCTTCCACTCAGAATGAGCATAATCACACACACATTATATATTTTTCTTCTTTTCTCGAATTCTTCAGAACTCTGATCCAAAGCTTAGTGCTCTGCCTCACTGGCTACTTAGGCAGCGACCAGTTTTCAAGCATTATTTGTTTTGTAGATGACACTTGGTTTAACGTTTTGTAATCTAATGCAAAATATTAAACAAATTTTTTTTTCATTTTTCAAATGAATTTTTGTTATTGTATTTTTAACTTTTTGTCATTATTCATGAGGCATCAGACTGCAAACAGGAAATAAGGGATGAGGAAGGATTGCGATTTATATTCAGATGTTCGGGGCTGTTTAAGATTTTTTTATTTAATTCAGCAATTATGCACATGTAAAGATATTGATAATGTTACAAACGGTTTCTTTAAAAAAAAAAAAGCGGTTTCTTTCTGTTTTTGACATTTATAAGTCTAAGAAATGTTTCTTGAGCAGCAAATCAGCATATTAGAATGATTTCTGAAGGATCATGTGACACTGAAGACCGGAGAAATTACTGCTGAAAATTCAGCTTTGCATCACAGGAATAAATTACATTTTAACATATTAAAATATAAATTGTAGTAATTTTTCACCATATTGCTGTTTTTAGTGTATTTATGATTTAAATAAATGCAGCCTTGGGTGACTTCTTTCAAAAACATTAAAAATCTTACTGACCCCTAACATTTGAACAGCAGTGGTAGCTTGTTTACAATAGTCTTCATGACAAGACCATCATATTTCTCATTTAGAAATGGATTGAACCAGCCTTAATATATGAAACCAGCCCTTTAATATATGAAAACTTGGGCACTGATAATGCCTAGGTTTTTATTGTTGTGGTTGTACTTTTTGTGATCTTTTTATTGTAGCAGATTTTGTCACGATGTCTTATAAAATTTGTCTGTTTGTGAGGTTGATGCTGTATAAATTGCCCTGTGAAGGGATTAATAAAGATATTACTACTTAGGTGTTTAGTTTGTCTCCCGTCCTGGGCTGGTTGGTTAGACTAATCTGTTTAGATGGTTTTAGTTGGGTCTTTCAGCTGGGAAACCAACTATCCAACTAGATAAACACCATCTTGTCCAAGTGAGGAGACCAGCTAGTCAACTTAAATTAACCTAAAATATGTTTTTTAGGATAGAAATGTGTTGAATTGTACCACATCCTAGAAAGACACCAGAAATCGCTTGAATGAGTGAGAATGAAAGACTCCTTGACTCACATTTGCCCTCTCACATACTTGTGAGCCATAAAGACACCAGTACTCGAGATGCCCTTACCACACACACACTCCAGCTGGCTTTGATGTTTAAGTGCTTAGTGTTTGTATGGCAGCGGCCTCTCCACCTGTTGAAATGCTGTTTTCTCAGAGGGTGAGATGTCCACAGAACCTTCTGTTGATCTCCGCTGTCTCAGTATCCTGGAGGTCTGTCATTTTCTTTGGAGTTTTGCCGTTCTGTTTTCAAACCTTGTTTACCATATGGGCCTTTTTGGTTCCAGTTTTTTTTTTCTTTTTGGTTGGCCAAAGCAAAGAATGACTCGCCTCACTTTTTTCCTCTCACTGTTGCTCGAATCCAAATGAGCCAGAAATGATCGTGACGTGAAATGAAGTTGCCAAAGTGTTGTGGAGAAAGCGTATCTTATGAGCAAACGTGCAAAAGCAAACACAATACGACATGTAATAATTACAAGTTAATTTGTGTTACAATATCCAATACGATATCCATCCAAAGACTCTAAAAGCCTTCTGAAGCTTACATATGTTGGGAATATTATCACACGTCTTTCTTCGGTGGTTCGTCAAGTCTCTGTGAATGACTGTGAAGTCTCTTCCTTTCCAAAAACGAATTGGCAAGTTTCTGGAGTTCTCCGAATGTCAAATTTCAGGATACGTTTACACTAATAGCTGACACTCTCCCTCAATCACATGAGCGCTACCTGGACCGTACGAAAGGTCAGTGAAGGTCTGAAATTCCTGCAAAGTGTATCAGTTACTGCGCTTAATGAGCAAAAATCTGTTTTGAGTTTTCCTTCAGGCTTGAGGTTATGCGAAGCTGATTACAGATCAGAGCGTTCACTGCTGAAACAGCTGTGTTGTCACTTCTCCCTGGCCTCAGGTCAGTTTTGAGCCTATTAGGGCACTTCAGGCAATCAGTCAGCCCATGCACGCTCACTACATTGTACCGGTTATTGCTACACTAATTTAATTATTCTGTACTTTCTCATTACTGCCGATTCGAGCAGACTGTGATTTTAGTGTGTGAGAGGATGTAAGTTTCATGCCTTAAAGGTTTGTGGCTTTTAGTCCATGTGTGCTTGCTTTGAAGATAATCTATATGCTAGTGTACAACTAATCTTTGGATTTTTGTATTTAGTTGGACAATTTTTTGTTTTTTTAGAAGAGCAATTTATTTATTTATTTGTTTGCTAAATTTTTTTACTTTTATTTTTTCACCTGACATTTGTTTTTGTTTTTATATTTATGATATTTAAAGGGGTCATATGATGTTGCTAAAAAGAACATTATTTTGTGTATTTGGATGTAATGCAATGTGTTTATGCGGTTTAAGATTCAAAAAACACATTTTCCACATACTATACATTATTGTTTCTCCTGTATGCCCCACCTTTCTGAAATGCGTTGATTTTTACAAAGCTCAACGGTCTGAAAAGCGAGGTGTGCTCTGATTGGCCAGCTATCCAGTGCGTTGTGATTTGGCCGAATACCTCAAGCGTGTGACGGTAATGTTACGCCCCTTACCATACTGTGATGCCGTGTCCCGGCCGGAGCGACGAGACAAAAACATTAAAACCCATTATAAACGAGGCATTTGTTACATCCAGCATGAACGCATCATATGACCCCTTTAACCATTATATGATATTTAATTGGGCATGTTAATTTCTGCCTGTTTTTTTTTTACATGAAGATTACCTTTACTGTCATGTAATATCACTTAAAATTAATCTTTAAAAATGTAATAATTGAATAACTATTAAATGTAATCTTAAAATAAAATTTCAAAATGAAAAACTTTCATGCTTTTAATAATAATGTTGTGATACCTAAATTTATATTTTTTCACATTTTTACATTTTAATCTTTTAAAGTAGCATAAAATGTAAATATCAACTATATCGTGAAAATTATTTTTACCTCATCAGAATCAATCTGTGTATTAATCCCTACTTTTTTTTCTGTAAAAATCTTGTAGCGTGCATGTGTTCATTTTTGAAATATTTAACTATGTGTGAAAAGTCATATGCTTGTCGTGCCAGTGGCGTTGATTGTAAAACATGCAAGATCTAGGTCTTTTCCCGCTGTATAAGGGCTCAAGCTATCTGAAGATAAAGGTGCTATCTTCTCTATCGCAATCTCTTTGATTGACACTTCCTTAGCTGCCAATTGCCAAAATACAAGATCCAGTACATCCTGGAGATTTCATTGCTTTCATTGCCACTCCATTTCCCCAACACCCTGTGGTGTGCGGCATCATGCTTTATCGAAAGAGACATCAAATTGATGTTCTTGCTGTAAGTTTCTGTAATTGCATATTTGAGTGGATCGAGGATCAAACTTTTTTTTTAGATGCTCCTCCCTCCTGCTCTGAATTAAACTCTGCAGTTCTAGTTATGATAGGAATCACCACCACCAATCACAGAGTTTAAAGACATAGTGAATTTTCCCTGCGTGTTATCTCTCTCGCTCTCTCTTTCTTCTCCTATCTGCTCTCGATCCCACTTTCACCCTCGTCAGATCACTGGTCCTCATTAGTGCACTTGGCTCACTAACTGTCCCGAAAGCCGCAGGGCTGTAGATGTAGATCAGATAGATCTGCTGTGGATCTGCTGGGTGCTGGAGAAGCTGAGGGAAGATCTGGCACTGATGTCTGCTGTAATCTGCTTAAAAAAATCATCCCTTGCATTTTTTATTACATTAATGTGGCATGTGCTTTCTTTCTAAAGTGTTTTACAGGGTAGTGCAAAAATATATCTTATATTTATTTAATATATATTAAACAGTACAATATATACAATATATATTGTCCTATATGACATACACACATGTGTATATATATATATATATATATATATTTGGAGTCAGAAAGATTTTTAAAAAATGTTTTTGAAAGAAGTCTCTTATGGTCACCAAGGCCAAACACACACACACACACACACACACACACACACACACACAGAGTTTTCTAGATTAACATGTTTTAAAATGCAATTTATGCCTGTGATGCCAAAGCTGAATTTTCAGCAGCAATTACTCCAGTCTTCATGTGTCTCATGATCCATCAGAAATCATTACAAAGCTTTTTTGATGAATAGAAGTTCAAAAGAAAGGGCATTTTTTTTAAAATAGTAATCTTTTGTAACATTATAAATGTCTTTACTGTCACTTTTGATCAATTTAATTCATCCTTGCTGAATAAAAGCTTACATTTCTTAAAAAAAAATAACTTGTTGACTCAAAACTTTTGAATGGTAGTGAATTTAAAAATGAACAAAAAGTGTGTTAATTTATGATAGAATAAGCAATTCTATTGCATACTTCATCTCTACATATGCTGAATGCCTAAATATTTAGATGTAAATGAAATTCTGCTGAATTTACCTTCAAAACGCAGCATTAACATGTCTGATCTGATCTGTAATTAATCAACCCAATGCAGTAGGTATGGGAATGGAATAGGTAAGAATGGAAAAGAGGAAGGTTTTCCACATAAATGATCCACCTTAATGCTGTTTCTTTCCTCAGAAGAAAGAGAGGGAGTGTATGCAGCTACGTATCGGGATTCTGAGGTGCGAGTTGGAGAGACAGAGGAAGGCGCTGGCGAGAGAACTGGACATGATGCAGAAAGAGAGAGCGCAGCTTGTAAAGAAAGGTAACCAAATTCACCAAACCATCTAACTGATGAGAGATCTGTCCCACTTTGGTAAAAAAAAAACAAACATATGTATTCAAAAGTATTTTCTTCTTCTTTCTTCCTCTGTACTGTTATACACCAGTGGTTCATATCCCCACACATGTGCAATCGGGCAACGTTCTCTTCCAAAACTGTGTGTCAGACTGAATGTGTTGTGAAACTCTTCATCTTATTTTTCACTGATGTAACTTCACGTGTGTTCCAGTATTTTGGAGGACCGTATAGAGTATCATCTGCTAAAATGTATTTCCAGATCTGAAACGCTGGCTGTCCACATTCTCATGTAAATGTATTTCCATGTCTTGAATTGAGCAAGGCAGTTGTTTTACATCTAACCAGCCTTCAAGTAGAGTCCAGCATCAAATATTTTTCCTGTTCTCACTTAAACTGAAAAAGTTGCAGGAAGCAACAAAATTGCAGCCGTTTCAGAACATATTTTATGTTTAGTGATGTTCAATCATTTATGATATCATTCAACTTGATATCTGTATCTACCAACCAAAAAAAAAAAAAAAACTTCTCGATGTATTTGCCACATTGATCTCAAGAAGGTGTAATTGTTCAAATAAGATGTATAAAAACTAGTGGTGTCAAAATTAGCGCATTAACACAGGCGATACATTTTTTCACTTTAACGCTTTCAATTTTTTTATTGCAATTAACGCAGGGGCGGGGCTAGGGTTCGCCACCCCACTCACAACTGCTGCTTCTGTCACTTTTTCTCTTGACAAGAAGTGCATTTATTCAGTCGCAGAACGACTGAGAACGGGAGACGTTTCAGATGCGCACTCCACTTCACTTCAGCGCGAGTCAAGCGAGCGCGGAAACGGTACTGTGCTCACAGAGCGGGCTCTTCAAATGCATGCACAAAGGCGCCGGCGCGCGCCGTAGCCTGTATCCTTTCATATCAAAGCGCGAAATAAACTACGTGCATGCAATGCCGTGGTCAGTAAAGTCATGAAGTTACCAAAAAGGCGATTAAAGCTGCCTTAAAACTGCATGCATGTAATATATTTTATATGAGTCACATTTAAGAACATGTCTCTAAAATGGTTTCAAAACTGTCCTGGAGCAGCCCAGCACTGTCTCATTCATCTAACACACTCGATACACTCGTCAGCTCATTAATAGAGACTTTAAGACCTGAAGTGGGTCAAATAAGGGAAAAAGAGTTGAGAGAAAATATGATGCGTGTCAAGATCCGCGTCACATTCAGCAGCGGCAGCTCTTAAAGAAATAGCAGCCAAAACAACCTAATAACCAGCTGCTGTGATGTCTATTAATTCAAGGACAAAAAAAGGAGGAAAAAAGAATTTTTATAGCTTTAAGGATTCATCTATATTTAATTTAGAATTTAGTGTTTGATAACTTCAATTTAAATTTCTGTATATTTTTGCTGAAGGGCACAGGTAAATATGACATTTATTATAATGGGTTTATGTGAAGATTGTTTTAAGTTCACTTAAATTAGAAGTTATTTTTAAAGTCTGGTAGGTACCGCTGCGGAGTAGCCCAGTACCTGCGTGATTCGCCATAGACATAAACAGAGAGAAGTAGCGACAATGTTCTTCCGCAAGACACATGCAGTTCTGTTTATTAACCGCTAGAGCGCCAAAAGTTAGGGACTGCAGCTTAAATTTTTTTTAATCGATTGACAGCACTAATAAAAACACAAACGGCATTGTAAGCATTTGTTTAGCTGGTGAGTGATTAGCAATAAAGATCATTTGCCATGTTTTACACACCAAACGTTTGCCAAAATGATTTTATGATCTTGTAATAACGTCATTCAGGAATCTAGACTCCATGATTTGCATAAATGGGATTGTTTACCATTAATCGCTGTGTTCACAGTGTTCCAATGACATCATTGGGGTCTTCATGTTGGGAATCCGACTTCCCATTGCACTTCTTTAAGAAGGAATTTGGATATTCCCTTTTCGGAGAACTTTGTATTCTCTTTCAGAGATTTTAATTTGTGTGGTACTGCCCAATCAAATGACGTACACATTGCCTGTCGTGACTGATTTGAGCAAATTTTTTGATTAACAGTTTATACATGCCTAGTTAAACCATGTTGTTAGTCATATTTCGTCAGTTTCTCCAATGATAAATCCTCTTGTAGCAAAATGGCACTTCTGTAGTTTTGGCCCGTCCAGACCACCACACGTGTTTGTTGTGATTTAGTGGTCTCATTATTCTCTTATGTTACTCTACACTGCTCCCATCAAAGATTCAAACTGTGCAGGCGGACACTGAACATTCAGAGTTTATCCAAAACGTAAGTTCCTTCCCGCCCCATTCGTCACAGCGTCCTGCCATTCATGTTTGATTTCTGAATCCTGCTTTTTATTTGCCAAATGTTATGCATGGATGGGAGGTGCAAAGAGGTGAGTTTGATTGATGTGGTGGTTGGTGTTTGACTAGAGGGTTGGGCTGCATACTGAGGGTTCATAAAGAATACATATACGCACGCTTGCACAACTATAATGATTGAGTGGCCTGGTACTTGCCATCCTATAATGCATTGTATTCATGATCTCCTAGTGTGTAGGAACAAACAACAGATTTGGGGTTCAGGGAAAGGTCTGTTCTAGATGGATGAAGTCTACCTCTGCCGAGAGGAGCCTGTCCTGACTGGAGCTGAAGGGAGCGGCCCATTCACATTCACACACAGGAAAAGACTTTTTAAGAGCTGAAGAAAAAAATTATTTGAACTGGTAGTAAGAAGAAAGGATGATGGCACACCGCTTGACCCCCGCTTCATTTATTCTTTGATTTATTGATCTTTCTTTCTTTCTTTCTTTCTTTACCAAATTTGTAAGAAAGTCAATGGATAATTTAAAATGCAAAATTCCTGCACTCTTCCCCGGTTTATTTTTGTATTATTTATTGTATTTTTTTTAGTTTTTTTTTTTTTTTTATTATTTCTATTTAGCTTGAATTTGTTTTTGTTTCACTTTAGTCAGTGTTATTTTAGTATTGTTGAGATACTATTATAGTTTTAATATTTTGAATTCATTTTTATTTTTATATTTTAATTAATGAATTAGTTAATTTTTATTTTAGTATGTCAAGTTAAACCTAAATAAATATGAGAAATGTTGCCCTGGCAACTAGCTAAATTGTTTCCTTTTATATTTAATTTTATTTCAATTAATGTTTATTTTATTTGAAATAACAAAATGTTTTTTAATGGCTTTCAGTTTAGTTTCAGTTATAGTTAATTATATTAACCAAGGTTTTAGTTTTAGTAATTTTAGTACTTCAACTTACTTCAGTTAGTTGCCAAGGCTGTTTTAGTTTTTGCTTAAGTATTTTAGGTTTTATTATTCATCTAATATTTATATTTTATTTTATTTCAGTTTAATTTCAGTTACCGAAAATAGTGAAATAGTCATCACTAAAACTATATGGCACTACGTTAACTACCAAAAACAATTAATATTAATGCATCAATTTAGTTGTCCAAAAAGTTGCTTACAAAGATTGGATGGCCTTTATGTTGCATTAAAAATGAAATATTGAATATTTTTGCTATATTACTGTACAGGACTTTTCTTCTGTGTTCATAAAATTAGTCACTATCTTAAGGTATGCACTATGCAGTTGTTGATGTTTTTCTGTTTAGTGTTAACATCCAATGTATAAAAATGCATATTTGGTCTTCCCTTTCCCTTCTTTGCAAACATCTCCTTAGTATGAGATATTCAATGGGTTATTATTAATAAAGATAAGGGAGAAAAACGCTATCTTCAGGGAGCGATATGAGAGAAACAAGAGTTTCCTACTTTTTTTTTTCTTTCCCGTCATGTTCCTCTCAGTTGAAGCCTGCCTTTCCCATTCCCGCTAACAAATCCCCCACACCCAAATTTCATTTAAACACTAATGGTCCTTTAAGCTATTGTCAGTCACCACTTATTTGCTGTGATACTAACCGGGCCAGTACTCTGAGAAACAGCATGAAAGCCTCCTTCCAAAACTACCGTAGTTTATCCCACTTACAAAGGGAGATTGCCAGAAATTGCACAAAATGACTTAAGTGTAACCACGTCTCATCTCTGTTTAATGTACAAAGCTGCAGTCATGCGCTCTCACACTCCCCTGCCGGTTCTGGTCACTGAGCGTTTCCTCGTTTCCATTGAAGCACAGAATAAAGCTTTGCAGGGTCAAGCCTCCTGTCACTGATTCCCTCGCTCTAATTTCTCGTCACGTCTGTGCACATGTTGTAAATTATGCCCGTAAAAGTGATTTGACGTCGTTATGATCGGTAGTTGCACTCGGGACAGAGGGCCTGTAAACGTCAGATGTGGAGGCACTCCACAAATGAAGAGGAAAATGTAAAGAATATAAAAAAAAAATATTAGTACAGAGCAAGGGGACACACTTTTACTAGTCCTTTTTGGTCATCAGAACACCTGTTTGCTTCAGTTTTCTGTGGTTTAGCTTTCATGCATTTTTTCCATCTCATTGTTGGCAAAATAAAAAAAAATGCTTTGTCAATTAATATTTCCATCTGTAATTTTCGGTAATGAGATCAATTGTTTCTTTGGAACATAAAAGAAAATATTTTTAATGTTAATTAATTGTCTCAATGGTCGTTTTTGTTCATACAATGAAAGTCTGTGTGGTCCAGTGTTGTTTTGGTCCTCATTAACTTAATTGTATGGATAAAAACAGCTGAAACTTTCTACAAAATGTCTTTTCGTGCTTCATAGCCGAAATAAGATTGAGGGTGAGTATATGATGACAGAATTTATATTATTGGGTGAACAATCCCTTTAACCTCTGCTGTTGTTTCTCCAGAGCAAATGCAGATGACTTCCTCCAAGTAGTCTTTAGGAAAGCTGTGGGCGGCGAAGAGGAGGCCTTAACCTGGTGCTGACAACTCTGATGGCCGAGAGAGGCAATATTACTAAAGCAGAGTTTGTCATAGGGGATTGTTTAAAGAGAACAAGTAAAGAACAAAAGCGTTTAGACCTTTCTGTCTTTCTCTGCCTCTGGCCCTTTTTCTTTTTCCTGCTGTCTCGTCCTAATGAGAGGTTCAAGGCTTTGCATATGGGACCACTTTGCTCCAGCGACAATGATCTCTCTTCCAATTTCCCTGGTTCACACCTCCCATGTCTTCAGAAAGACACCACCAGGGTCCAGGATGTCCCGACAAGCTTTGCTTTAGGACAGAGAGATCCCACAGAGCAGTAAAAGAGAAGAGAATGTGAGGCATATTATAAAGCAGACGTTCTCTGTTTTTACAAGTGCGAGTCAGAACAAAGCAATTTTGCCCCCTTTTTTTTTTTTTAAACCAGACAGTCTGCTTTGATTTTCTCTCTTTCCACTCTCATCTTCCCTCATCTTCTTATTTTATGTAAGTGAAGTGGAAAAGAACAGACAAGAATCAACTCTTTAAAGGAATTGTTCACCCAAAATGAAAATTGTCATCGTTTACTCTCTCTCATGACATTCCAAACCCGTATGACTTTCTTCCTTGGAAAAAAAGGTATTTTGTAGAAACTTCATGCAATCCTGACCACACATATATAGAAATATGTATTTGTGTGTATATATACTGTATGTCAAGTCAAGTCACCTTTATTTATGTAGTGCTTTTTATACAATACTGATTGTGTCAAAGCAGCTTTACAGTGTCAAACAGGAAAATAGTTTGTCAATAATGCAAGAGGACAATAACAAAGAGTAATTTTCCATCTAAAGTCAGTTCATTGATGATTCAGTGATGTCATCATCCAGTTCAGCTCTCTTCCATTAGTGTCTGTGCAATCAGTCAAGCGTCCCCAACTAAGCAAGCCAAAGGCGACAGTGGCAAGGAACCAAAACTGAAAGAAATGGAGAAAATACCTTGGGAGAAATCAGGCTCAGTCAGGGGGCCAGTTATCCTCTGGCCAATACTGTATATGTATTGGTCCTAAGACGGAGACCTGAGGCACACCACAATTTCAGCCTATCCCCCTTTTGACCTGTCTGTAGAAAGAATTTAAAACCTCCTCCTCTCTTCATTTCACACACATTAATCTCTCTTGCTTTCTGACTCTTTCTCTATTTTCCCTCTTCTGTGGATATTATTTCTGAAATAATGGATCACAACAGTATTGCATAGAAGTGGGGCTGACACATGCATTCCACTGCAACTCACACTCACACACATGCATGCACACTCCTGGCTGATGCTTTGATGACATGGGGGTAGTGTGGCCATGCAGGCTAGGTTGGAAAATGCCTTTGAACACCATCAGCAAAACCCTTAGAGCTAGTTAATCTGGGCAGAGTCTATAGCTTTCCAGCAAATCAGATGTAGATTTGCTTTTCTGTTTCCAATGAATGTTTTCAATGCCTTCATTTATATTTTCTACTTTTCAAATGCCTTTCATGTTTAGAATTTATTGTTTCATTGTTATTATTTATTGTTTCCAGACCCAGGCATTCAATTCTAAAATAAGATGTAACGTTAATCAATCTGAAAATCTAAACAATGAAATAAACATAAATAATTTCATGTATGTAAAATGATTTCTACCCATTTTTAAGCATATTAGTTGTGGCATTGTTTCCACCACAAACAACAATTTTGCCCCAATAATGTTTTAACAAAATTTAGTGTACCATGATTCAGATTATGAAAATTAATTTAAATAATAATTGTGAACAGAATATTTTATTTGTAATTTTTAAAAAGTTCACGGGGCCAAAGTTCATAGTTGAGTAAACACCCATAAATGTACATAAGTACAATAACAATTTAGAAAGTGTTTAATATTGTGGAATTTCACAATTTCATCATTAAACTCTGTAAAGACTTTTTGTAAGCTAAACAAGTCTTATCTTGCTTCTGGGAATCGTTATCCAAATTTCGAGTCAGGAGTGTTTTGATTATGTGATCTCGTCTTTGCATTATAATGCTGAGCAGTTATATTTATGTAAAAAAAAAAAACCTACAAGCATTTTTTGAATCTCAATTAGTTTTATGTTGCCTGTAGAGGAAATGTTTTTATAATGATGAAAGGCTATGTTTTATGATTGTACAATTTAATAGACTGCCATCAAAATGAGACACACCTACCCACCTGTACAAACACACATGAGACTACCTGTTCCCATCTTTTCTCTCTTTTATTCTCTCCACCTGTCTGTGTTCTTCTCCTCAGAGGAGGCGTCGTCTACCAAGCATCAGGGTCTGGAGTCTGAGCGCAAGTCTTTGACTGAGTTACAGAAGGAATGCACTGCCAAAAGGTGAGAGATTGGCAACCTGCAACTATCCGTCCCTCTCTTTTCTCTTTTTCATCCCTCATTCTCTACCCTCCAGTCCAGTGGTCTCACATCTGTCAGACATTGCCATGATGGGCCGCAGAATGGGGTACTTTTTTGGGAGCGCTTTGGGAGATTAGGTGGCCAACTCAAACAGACTGAGGGCATGCTGGATATATTTGTGTTTTCCCACCCACTCGAATTGCATCGTGTGACAATAAGCAGAGTATGTTGTGCCAGTGCTGATGGGTTTGACATGACCCAAAGGGTCACACACAGTGGGTTGACCTCTGAAATAATGCATTTGTATGTCTGATGGTGTTCCTCAAACTCTTGTTTGAAGCACAGATGTCAGGCCTTGTGCAATGTTGCAATAAACATTGGTATTATACATGTTATTTTTGTCAATTTTGCCTTTTTTTTAAAAAACATTTTTTAATAGACATCAACAGTCAGAAGGGGGAAATGGGATCAGTAAATTATATAATCCAGTCTTGAACTAGCATCATCCGCATGAGCACCAAGGCTCACTTTGACTAATCGCTCCGCCAACTACTGATTTTCATTATATGATGACATATTTTTAAAATATATTGTATATTATACAAATATAATATTTATTTTTACTCATATATTTCTTATGTTTATGTGTTATATTTATTTATACACTACCGGTCAAGTTTTGAATAATTAAAATTTAAAAAAAATGTTTTTTAAAGAAGTCTCTTATGCTCCCCAAGGCAGCATTTGTTTACTCACAAATACGGTAAAAACAGTAATATTGAGAAATATTAATACAATTAAAAATAATTATTTTCGATTGTAACGTTTTTTGTAAATTTATAAATGTCTTTACTTTAATTCAGTTTAATGCATCCTTGCTGAATAAAAGTATTAATTATTATTTTTTTAAATATATTTATTTATTATTTACCTCAAACATTTGAATGGTAGTGTATCATGGTTTCTACATATGTATGAAGCAGTATAACTTTTCAAAATTGATAATAATAATAAAAATAAAAAAATGTTTCTTTAGCAGAAAATCAGCATATTAGAATAATTTCTGAAGGACCATGTGACACTGAAGACTGGAATAATGGCTGCTGAAATTCAGCTTTCAAAATAAATTACATTTTAAAATATCATTATTCAAATAGAAAACAAATTATAATATTGTTTTACAATATTATAGCCTTGGTGAGCATAAGAGCCTTCATAAAAAACTTAAAAAAAAAAAAATCTTAATTATTCCAAGCTTTTGACCGGTAGTTTATTTATTTCAAATTATAAATATAAGTTTAAATTCATCCCCCTTAAACTACTGCCACTACAGTCATACACATTCAGACAGATGAGCGATGGGCGCTTCTGGCCGTTGATTCACATCTCGTGCTGTTTTTGGCACATCGGAGACCCACTTCCAGTAAAGACAGATCAAGTTATGTTCACAGTTTAACAGTGGTTGGATAGAAATGTTTTGACCGGATTTTGGGTGGTGTAGAGCAGGCCTGGTGGACCCACATGTAAGCTATAGTCCAGTAAGGAAGGTATATCCTTCATACCTCATCATTATTTCCTTCCCGTCTCATTTTCATGGCTGTAAATGAATACCACATTATCCTCTATGATTACTCTTCATCTTTCTCCTCAAGCCACAGACCCAGTAGCTGAATGCTGAACATGAAAAGTAAACATTTTTTCAACCCCTTGCACCTCACCTAGTCAGGTCTTGGTTTTAGCTGTGCCCGTCCCCCAGCCTCCCCCCGTCCTGAGGTAATGGTGTGTCCCCTACTTGACAGATGTGTCCTGATTAGGGTTGGTTGTACTACTGGAGGATGGGGTCAGAGTGGAGGAAGTTCATTGTACTTTGGCAGTTATGATAACTGAGTAGTTCTTACCATTGCTAGAGAGATGATTCAGAGCATCATTAGCAAAGTGAACTTCCTAAAGCCAGTATAAACATTGCAATTAATACTTCTTTTTCCTCTTCTTGTTATTTTTCTCTTTCGTCTCCATGTCATTTGGACTCACTGTTATTTCCTGTCTTGCAACTGACTTTTGCTGGTTATACAGTAGCCCCAAAAAGCATTTAGACAATTTTGGACACTAAAAACGTACTTAAAATGTTTGAATTACTTTTTATTAGATAAATATAAATATCAATAAATATCAAACCAAGTTACATCTGCTAACAAATGTTGCTTAAACCTTTCTCAAAAGTCACTTTTTTAACCAATTGTTCCCAAGTTTGTTTTTGGTGGCTGCACGAACACAGGTGTCCTAGAATAATATATTTACACATGTCATTTGTATTCATTTTCTATAGTAATAATAATAATAATAATATCATTTGTTTATTTTTTAAAATTATTATTAACAACAGTTTTACTATCATTTAACTTTTATTATTATTAATTTATAATAATTATTGTTTATCAATTATTTGATTGTTGTAATTGTTATTAAAAATTTATTGCAATAACAATAAAAATATTAAATAATATCAATATAGAAATAAATAAAAATAAAGTTAAATGATGATAATAATAGCATTATTATTATAACAGCAATATAATATTGGTAATTATTAAATTATTATTCATTTATTTTGTCTAATGTATTTATTAAATATGTATTATTATTATTAATACTATTAATATACTACATTACTAATAATATATTAATTTATATCAGTCTGGAAAAAAATAAAGATTAATAATAATAATAAAAAATGCTAACAGAAATTATATGTATTAGCAAGATAATTATTAAACAATATTAATATAGAAATAAATAAAGATTAATTTATTATTATTATTATGATAAAAATTATATATATATATAGTGGGCTCTAGCCAGAGTAGGATTACTTCTTTCACATTATTTCACATTACTTCAGTCCTTTGCTGATGGCAAAATATATATATATATATATATATATATATTTACACTTAATTTGAATATACAGTGAAGTTCTTCTGTGTTTGTTCTTCAACAGAGAGCTGTTTCTAAAATCCAATGCCCAGCTCACCTTCCGCTGTCGTCAACTTATATCAGAGCTGTCCTACATTTATCCCATTGATGTGGTGAGTGTTTAACTCCACACACAAACAACATCACACTCAAACACGCTCAACAGAAACACTCATAGTGCAGCTTCCTGTCTGTCTTGTTTTATCCTGATGACTGGAGCGTGTGGCTTGCTGGAAATGTTAGAGGTCAGGGTCTTTGCAGACTCTGGTGTTACTGGCTGTTAACAAGTTTTGGTTTCCCACCATCTCAGTATGACCTAGAACTACTGTTCAGTACGTACATTGACTGGTGCCCACAGAGTCCCGCTGCCAGTCAAATCAGTTTACAGAATAAAGCCAGTGAAAATGAGCAGAAAACCACATTCAGACCAAACTATCCTCGCCAAGCTTTTTCAGCTGCTGTATAAAGGATTTGATCAATCGGCTGCTCCTGCTGTTTCCACAATGCTGTGCTCACGACTGCTTTTCTGTTGTTTTCTTGTTTTCGTTGCAGAATAATCAGAATGATTATGTGATTTGTGGTGTCAAACTGCCCAATTCGGAAGACTTTCAAGGTAAGTTTGGAATTCGGCAATTAAATATTCATGATGAACATTCCTAAGTTGTGACAGACTGATTTATTCATTAACCAATTAATTGAGAATTATTTTGCCATTTTGAGTTTATAGGCAAGGCCGACAGTCATGCCAAGAAGTGTTTGCTTTCTCTTGAGTCAGTCCAAAACTCTACAGTCAGCTTGACAAAGAAAATTTCTCATTTTCTGTTCTCTAATATAGAGAGTGAATTTTAAGTCATTTTTCCAAGCATACTAAGCAGAAGGAGGGAGTTTTTAGTACTGTCACTCTCTGAATTAAATCAGATCAGAATCAGATACAGCAAATCTAAACTCATCTGGAGAGGAGCTCTTGAATCCCCAGTCAGTTCTGCTTGACTGGCTGCAATTCCCTTGATTTCTGGGTTTCTTTAGTCTGGCTGTGGATCACAGGCTCCAGGCCATCAATCAATCATCCTCCTCTGTTCTGATCAATGGAGCCCTGTGTCCATGGAACCCTTCAACTTGTGGTTAAGACTGAGATCACTCTAGTCAGTTACTCACACAGCAAGAACCGTGGTCGGACCTTCTGACTTATCACATTATATAAGAGAAAAGGATTTTATTAGGGCATTCATCTCCCAGTTCCCTATAGTTAGGCTTTTGGGGTTTTTAATAAGGAGAATGAATTGTGTTTGATGGGTACAAGTGATGTCCTTTGTTGTGCTGGCTGTGGGGAGAGTTATTCATCTCATTTCCCATGTGTCCTTTAGGCAGCACTGTATGTGTCGCAGGGAATCAGGTTTGGCTTTTTTCAGACAGGGAAGGCATGACTTCAAAAGAACAGAGAGGTTAATGGAAGCCAGGTTGAACCACGTACTCAACGACACGCATATTCACATACATGCGTATGCAGTCCTTCACATATGTAACTATTGCTTGGCACACTTTCTCATGCATTTTGAAAACACAAAATGACAACTCATATGCATATACAATTTATTATACAAAATAAATCTCACACAGCTTTCAATAAGTGATATGGTCTGTGTCCACAGCGTGTTGTTTTCATTTGGAAATATGTGGCTGTTCTAGCCTGGAAACCTTCTGGAGCACATGTAGTTGTAGAGATGTCTGGGAAATGTAGTTTGGATGCATGTTTATGATAAAGCACAAGAAGTGTGGTTTTTCTGGCTACTTGTGAGAGTTGTCCTTCCAGTTGCTCAGCAACCAAATATTTTTTGCTTGGCATTTGGGCTTTTTGTTTGAATTTACCAGAAATGCCCCGAAAGGCTGCCGTTCAGACAGTAATGGGGCCATCAGAGTGATTTAGATTGCATATAATTATTTAGGAAATGCACACGTCGCAGTGTGATTATACACATTTAAAGACTGAACACTAGGATTAGCCGATCCTTGTTTTTTTTTTAGAGTAGCTTTTAGCCTCTGGTGATGCCTTTGACCCCACCAGGAAAGGGCATCGCTGGGGTGAACTGAAGTTTTGCATGGTATTAGGTTATTATGCGGCTCCCTATAACTCAAGGGCCCTAAGGAGACTGAACAAAATGAATGGCCTTCATCAGCTTCCATCAACTTAACAAATGGCCTCTGATTTATAACCTCGGATTGGAGTCAATGAACTTCAATTGTTGTAAATCATCCTTTAAATCAGAATGTACAAATCTTGACTTCAACTGAAACGCAGAAGAACAGTTTTTGTATTACTAATATTTTGTGCATTGTGACATTTATTTAATGTTCTTTCAAAGGGGACATCAGATGCCCATTTTCCACAAGTTGTTATGATTCTTTAGGGTCTGCATGAAATGTCTGCGACATACTTTGGTTAAAGTTCCTCAATGGTCGTGTAAAACAGCACCATTTTTTCCTTGTTCATGTCATGTCATTAAATGATAAAGAGCTACTGCTCACTCCACCCCTCTCTTCCATTTTTTGTGTATTCGGTGGCGTGTTACCATCAAAACTAATCTACTGCGTCCTCGGTGGCTCTGATGTTCAGTGATCCTAAAGATCTTCATTTTTAAATAAAATATTTCTTTCCTTATTTGAGTTTTATTTGCTGTGCAATTTTCTCTTATTTGAGCGTTTCTTTCCCCTGTGTTTTCCTCTGTTTGCTGCAGCAAAGGATGATGGGAGTGTTGCGGTGGCTCTGGGTTACACGGCACACCTGGTGCTGATGATATCGAACTTCCTGCAGATTCCACTCAGGTATCCAGTCATCCACAAGGGTTCCCGCTCCTCCATCAAGGACACCATCACTGACAAACTCACAGAGAAGGAGAGAGAGTAAGAATGTTTTTTAAAGATTCTTTACGTTTTATTGCTTAGTGATTAATTGAACTACATTTTTCATTGCTCTGTATCACATTTTTTTTTATTAATAGTTGATGGTAGAAAAGCAACAAAAAACAAACCAATTGATTTATCTTATGCATTACGCTCTAAAGACTTTCTTCCCTTAACACAGGGGAATATTTATGCATCTTTTTCCACCTGCGGTTTATGCGTGTGTAATTTGTCCACCTGTCTGGTTCAGTATGTGTGTTCAGGGGTGGTTTAAGGCCCTTCTTGGATTAAACGCTACTTAAACGCCACGGGGTTCTGACTTTCATGTGCCCACCTCGCCTCCCTTTCATCCATTCCTTTTTAACTCTCTTTTCTTTCATCTTTTTATCTCATCCTCCCTCTCAGTAGATTACCACGTCTGCTGCAGCATGGGAGATAAATAACATCCTCGAAAGAGGGTCTCACTGGTGTCTTAAGTTGTGTAAATATTTATATATATTTTTTTATATTATATTTTATTTTATATTTTTGTATTTAAGCCCTTTTCTGCCACAGAAAATAATTGTCACCTTTTTAACTCACAATTCTGGATATAAACTCTGAATTCTGAGTTTCTCACAACTTTCTCGCAGTTCTTCTGAGCCATTCTGACTTCTTTTTCTCTGAATTCTGAATTTACATCTCATAATTCTTATAATTTTTTTCCATACGTTTGTTAATGGTAGAGAGAATTTTTTTTCCCAAACCAGACTCGATTTATTAATTTTTTATGACATTTTTGTGAAGCCCTGAGTTACAGGTGCATTGTGGTTATTTGGAGATAGCACTATTGAGTGCATTGCTACTTCCACGTTTCATTCTGATCCTTCAAATCTGTTTGTAAACAGTTTTACCTTTGATATCTGTTCTATGCCTATGTTTATAACTGTAGCAGCTAGAGTAACATTTCATCATCTAATGGGATTCTTACGCAACTCTTGAAACCACCATGTTTGCCTGGTCTGCCATGAATGCAGTTATTTCCCCCTTATCTTCATAGTTTCATGTTAAATTGCATCCTCAGGGTGTGATGTTGCCCTACCATGTGTTAAGATGCTTATAATTTGAATTTTTGTGTGCATGCTATGCTGTGGTTGCCATGGAGACGGATGCACTTTCTTCTGGCTTGGCCTTTGGTGTCCGAAGACCCTGGCATTTTAATGCCAGAATGTGTGGGCACTGCAATTACAGTGCCGGCTACCTCACTCAAATGATTGTTTTTCTGTGTTTTGGTGCCGTAACTAAGCAGGAGCGATCCAAGAAACGAGGCTGCTGGTGTGTGCTGATTACATGTCTGCGGTGCACATGCCCAGAGAGGTATCACATTCCTGCATTCCGCACATGGCAAAAAGCCCCTTAATGAAACTCGCAATAAAATTGGATTGTTATAATCAGATGGGCCTCCTTTTGAATGACGGGGTCGAGATGCCTTTCTCCACTTTTGATGTAGGATTAATGGCTGATTTCAACAGCTTATAAATGAGGAGGAAGAGGATGGAGAGGTAAGAGCGAGGGAGGCAGAAAGAATAATCCTGGATTGTGCCAGCTCTTCCCCTCGTGGTGTATGATGGCTTGATTACGCTGCACCTAGGGATTGGCACAAGTACTCAGAAATGACTCAGGAAACACAATAACTGCATGACTTTATTGATTTTTCAGCATGTATTGTAATTTTTATTTGTTGCGATGGCGTTTGGCATATTTTTATCCATGCATTTAATGTACAGTTTTTATCAGTTCATGCATTCCTTGGAAACCAAAGCCATGATGTTGGCATTGCTAGCACCATGTTCTATTTTTTGTGCTACAGGAGCCTTGTGGTTTGATTGGGACACTCTTAAAAAACAGGTGGTGTGACACTGAAATAAACAGTGAGATGCAATGTACCACAAAAGATGTCCATCTAATAATAATAATAATAATAATAAATGTATTAAATAATATTAATATGCACTACTGTTTAAAATATTTGGTCAGTAGGATTTTTTAAAAGAAATTAATACTTTTATTCAGCATGGATGCATTAAATTGATCAAAAATTACAATAAAGACATTTATGATGTTACAAAAGATTTCTATTTCAAATAAATGCTCTTCTTTTCTTTCCATTCATCAAAGAATTCTGCAAAAAATTATCATGGTTTCCACAGAAATATTAAGCATCACAACTGTTTTCAACATTGCTAATAATAATACTAATACTACTACTAATTAATATATGCTGATGTATTATTATATAATAATACTAAATCAGCATATTAGAAGTATTTCTGAAGGATCATGTGACACTGAAGACTGGATTAATGGCTGCAGAAAATTCAGCTTTACCATCACAGGAATAAATTACACTTTAAAAACGTATTAAAATAGAAAAAAAATGTTGTAATAAATTGTAATAATATTTCACAATATTATGGTTTTTATTGTGTTTTTGATTAAAAGAAATGCAGCCTTGGTGAGCATAACAGACTTCTTTAAAAAAAAAAAATCTTACCCCAGACTTTTGAACTGTAGTGTACATTAAAGCGGACAATATCTTAAACTTTTAGATTATTGTTTTTGATTATGCAATTTAACAATTATTTAAAAACATCTAACTTAGGGTGTTTGCATTAAACTACACATCATTTTATAATAAATGCAACTAAAAGCTATCTATCTAAAAGCTAGTTTGTAAACAGCTTAAACTACTGTTAAGCTACTGTAATGTAGTTCAACCCAAAACAAATATTCTGGCATCATTTGCTTAACCTCACTTTGTTGAAAACTTTTATGACAATTTCCCAAGTATCTTGTGTGTTCCGCACAAAAAAAAAAAAAGTCATACAGGTTTGGAATAACATGAGGGTGAGTAAACGATTACAACATTTTCATTTCCGGGGGAACTATCCCTTTAAATTAATAGTGTCACTACTTTAAGTGACGCTTGGCTACTCCTCAACTCTTTTACATAGACAAAATATTTTTAAAAAGAGCCAAAAATAGTGTCTGATTTATCTTTTAAGTCCTCCAGCAGTAGAAATGACCACATCCGTAACTGCGGCTGGCTCCGATTAGGCCTAGGACATTTCTGATTTTCAGTGCAGACGTCCCCCACCAAGGTCCCGATTTGTTGCGTTCAACATTAATGTCTACATCTCTAGATGTTCTGTAATTTTCAGCTGCATGAATGTAACTCAATACATACTCAACTTTGCAGAGTTCAAAGACAGTATATTCGGCTGCCCACCTCCCGCTCTGCCAGTCACAGAGACTCCCTGGAGACAGCGCTGTTATGAAAGTCAAACAACAATCAGGACACACTCTTCGTGACCCTCAGCCTGTGTGTTTGTGAACGTACACGGCCATTAGCAGCAGCTGAGCAGGGGGTGAAGCCGCTCAGCTGTTTAAACGGCCCCATGTATGTGTGTTTGCAGATGAATCAGGTGCCGCTGAGAAGACGAAGGTCTAACCAGTCAGAAGTCAGACTCCAAAGCTCATTAAGTTATGAGTTACAAGGAGAAGGAGAACGGAGGGACCTATGTGGCCCTCGTAATTAACTCCGCACGAGCCGGGCCTGTACCAGATCCTATTATCCCCGCTCCTGCCGTGACCCTGTGACCTCCACACACCATAACTTACAGCAATGTGAGCTGTAATCAGCCCCAACGTGTCATTGTTTAACATTGTGTCAGCCTTATGCTTGATAAATACGGTTTAAATCATCTTCTTTATCGCTCTCATGGCCTGTTGCTCTGGCGTTCATATGTCTGTCTCTGTCGTAGCAGGGTCTTGGGTTTGTGTAGTGGGTGTTCTCTGAGCTGCAGTTTAGGCGGTCCATTAATCTCCTTCAGTTTGGGAAGATACACCAGAGGTCTTCATAACTGCACTTACTGTATGACTTTTCTTTGTAGCCTGTGGTCTGCAGCCAGACAGAGCAAATCAAGTTGTCATTTTGGAGCTCTAGTACGCAAGTAGTCATTTAACAGATGCTTTTATCCAAAGCGACTTGAAGTACACTTATTACAGGCGCTCGCTGAAGGCAGGGCTGTGCAAAATTCAGAATTGAAGAATTGGCTCCCTTTCAGTTCATTAGCATGAATTTGAATGGAATTGACCACATCTGTCTTTCTGTTTTATTGTTTTTTCTGTCTGTCTGTCTGTCTATCACTTATTCATTTCTGTCTGTCTGAGCGAATCAAATACATGTGAATCACATTCTGTTTATCTGTCTGTTTATCGTTCTATCATTTTTTTTCTATCTGTAATTTTTTCATTCTGTCCGTCCTTCTCTCTATTATTCTATTGTTTTTTATTCTGTCTGTGTCTGTTGTTCTATCAGTTTTTCCTCTAAACTCTAGAAACTTTCAAACTTCAGAGGTTTTAAACTTTGAAACAAGACAAACTCAAAACTTTGAAACAAGACAAACTTTCCTTTTCTAGTTACAAATTACAATTAGATGTATATGAATTTCTTTGACTTCCTTACATTGTCGTTCATCCTGTTTGTTACCTCTGTTCAAATTCGGTTCAAACTCAGAAGTTTGAATGTTAAGTCATTCATAGTCCGATTCTGAAAGCCACACAATCATAGATTTCCTGTTGTCAGGGTCAAAATCACAACCTTTCGGTTACCAGCTCAGACCTTTTACCACTTTGCCCTCTGACCTTCAGTTTTTAGACATTTCTTACTATTGTGCATAACAAGACCATAACCATTCCCACAATCTGTACATCATCTTACCTCGGCTTCATCCAGGCTCCTTCTAGGTGTCAGTGAGGTGGCCCATAAGCTGGAACAACCTCTGACCTCACCACCCTCAAATTGTTTAGGGTTTCATCCGATCACCCAGTGTGTGTATACACAGATCGAACTGATGTGACCAAGATTTATCCATCTGATGATAAAGCTGTCAGGAAAATGATTGTGAATAAAGATGAGTGAAGTGTGAGTATTGTGGCGATAATCACTAGTCATTTGT